TGGGAAGGTGATCCTACAGCCCCCGACAAGTCTTCTAGGACTGCAGCTCAGCCATTAGTTTGCCTGCAACTTCATGAGGGACCTTGAGCCAGAACTACCCAACTAAGCTGCTCCCAGATTCCTGAGCCTCAAAAACTGTGTGAGATAGTAAATATTTGTTTTAAGTTGCTAAGATTTGCAATAATTTCTTACATAGCAAAAAATAACTAACATATCATGATACAATGTAACATAATGTATCTTCTAAGTATACACGTTTCTCAAATCAATTCTTTGAAGTAGGAACTATTACATTCCCTATTTTACAGAAAGGCAAACTGAAATGCAGCAAGAGCAAGTGGCTCTAAATCACTCTGCTAGTGAGCATAGGCGGGTCTGTCTCCAAAGCCCTTGCTCCTAATATGGACTTTCATAGCCTCCTATGTCCCAGCTGCCGGGCTGAGTCATCTCGGCTTTATTATTTCATCTTATTTAATTTCCACCATAGACTGAGGCAGGGGAGATCCTTTCAGATAATACCACCAGCCAACACTAGCAGGGTGCCTTCAAGTTAACACTACTTTACACTTACCTGTAAGGTGGTCAGGGAAGGTTTTGTTGTCTTACCTTCAATTTAGACATGGGCAAGCTAAGGCTCAGAGCGGTTAAGGACTTCGTCCAAAGCCAAACATAACTTTGGGAGTGGGGGGCAGGTGGAGCTGGGGCTTGAACCGCAGTCTCCTGACCTCCTAATCCTCTCTCTCTGCCCCACTAAGTTGCTCCCTAATCTAGTTAAGGAGGGATATGTTTTCTGAAATTGCAGAAGCCTCACTCACCCACTCACCCATTGCAGAAGTTGGGGGAGCAGGGAGGTTCCACTGGGGACTCTGGAAACTGTTCCATCCTTCACGCCTCCATGCAAGGGGAAGGAAGGAAAAACCCTCCCTTCTCACCCCTCTCTTCATTTGCCTGAGATGTCTCCCACCAGGGAGATGGAGGGGCTCAGGAATTCTGCTCCTTCTGGGAGGCCCAGCCCCTTTGGCCTTTTCTCCTAAATGCACAACCAATTCTTCCCTCCAGCAGGGTTCTCTGGAAGTGAGGACCCTGTGGCCACCCCCTCCCGCTCTAACTCTTCACTGCAGTCCTCCTCCAACAGATTAGGCAGCAACTCCTAAGAGCTTGAGCTATTTTCCTGACAAATAAAAGCCTTTGAAAACAGCCAGAGAGATGGGATTTAGAACTGAGAGCTGAGAGGAGACTTCCGAACTGAGTGCTTGTGGCAGATGGCCAGGAAAGGCTGTAGGTAGTGTATTTCTTCTTGAAGACCCCTCTGGAAAGTATCTGTCTTAACCTGAGTGGTGCTGGGGAAAGGCGTGGGCAGTTTGGGACCATGGCTGCGTTTGTGATGTGACTGGGGAGGAAAGCTGGAGGTAGTCCTTCCAGGAATCAGCACAAACCAGATGACTCAGCAGCGTTCACCAGGCATCATGTCACCTCTTGTCTCCTCCTCTGCAGAAGAATAAATCTGTTGGCTGATGTGAGAGGGATTAGAGAGGGAAGTGGGCTTTCTGAGTCAGCCAATGAGTTTGAAGACCAAGTGCACTTCAAAAGCAGAGTCCATGGCAGGGAGGCTGCAGCCAGCCCTCTGAGTCACCCGACCTGGCCGCAGAGCTGGGCCTGGAATGTCTGCAGTGGCCATGGGGGGTGATAGTGGTGAGTCACCACTGGGGGCTGGAAGAGTCAGAACACCCCAAATGCTCTTCTGCTGTTCCAGTTCTCGTGCCTGGGGCCCTGACGCAGAACCCAGGAGGGGCTGGGAAGTGGGGCCCTGGGTTCTCATGCAACAGTACCGCCCATCATCCCTTCTCTGCATATCACGCCACTGATTTCCTGACTTCCGTGGCTCCTTAGGCACCCCACAACCCCATGCGTTCTCTCCTCCCACCTGAGCTTCAGGCCGGTTGGAGTGTCATCTCTGATGCCTCACATCCAGAAAATTCTCCATAGAGAAATGGAGGAGGGGGCTCTGCTACCTCCTGAGCCTGATCCTCCCCACCTGACTCCTTCCCCTGGACCTGCACGGGACTCTACATGACACAGCGCTTCTAACTACGATGTGGACAGCCTGGCTGAGCTGCCAGTTAGATTTACCGGCATATTTTGATCATGTCCAACAAGCTTCCAATCCCCAGAAACTCCCAAGGTCATCTTTCCCCTTTTCCTGCCTCCCAGCATGCCCTGTGGGGGGCGTGTGGGTACCCCCTGGGAATTTGGCTTCTTCTCTGATCTTCCCCTCTCTCCAACCCTCCCTACATTTCTTTATTGCTCCCGGGGAGTATGGAGCTCGCAGACTTGAGCAGGAGCTCTGGGCTGGGGGCCCTGCTTGCATCCTCCTCCCCAGCTGCCCTGCCCTATCTGCCCCCAGGGTCCAGGCCACTGTCTCTTTTTTCTGTCCACTGCATGAGGGCCAAAGATCAAAGGGGAATTGGGAGGGGGTTGCAAAGAGGGGGTGGGGTGGACTTAAAGGACACTGGCCTTCAGAGCAGCCCACCCCCAAAACCAATCCACAGAGTTCCGAGCTGAGCTCACAGCTGCTGGAACCCATCATAAAACTTTCCTTGACTCCAGTTTGGTATCGGATTTAGGAGTCCCAGGGAATGATGTCCCCTTTTCTTAAATATCTGCTGCCTCCACACAGGGGTAGCCAGGTTTTGATACAAACCCTTCTTAGTGCATTAACTGTGTCACACAGCAGGAAGCAAGATTATAGGCAGCCCCCACGTCCCCTCTGGAGGTCAATCTGAATTGATGTCTAATTGCTGCTGATTGGTAGCTGGGAGATGGATTTGGAGAGCTTGCCTAGGGAGAAGTTTTTCTAGATGGTGAGAAATAGGTGGGTGGGTAGGTGAGGTTTCCAGGAGGCAGAGAGGTGAGTGGCCCTCCAAGTCCTGGTTCCTCTCATCCCACATACACACTTAATTTCATGCTGGATCTGCTCCCAGGCTGCGGAGTTCACCTGGAAAGGAAAGCGGCCTTTATTAGGATCTGGAGGCAACAGGCAGGGCAGGAACTGGGCTGTTCATGGTTCCAGGTGCCCATGGCAATGGAGAAGAGGGAGCCTGGAAAGGAAGCCTTGGAGGTCTGCCAAAAATGCAGTCTGTGCCCTGCCCCTTCTAGACGGAGCCCCTGTGGACAGAGCCATGTGCTCAGTACTTGGAGAAAGGCAAAGGGAGCATCCCAAAGAGTCTCTAGTCTGAGCAGGGACACACAGCCCCTGCCTGATCAGGGAGAGAAAGCCCCTGCCTTGGAAAGCCCTCCAGTCTGATAGAGAGGCACAGCATGACCTCAGGGTCCCCACACTGATGGCGGAGACAGGATGACACACTTCTGTCATATAGGAGAGTAGGGCATTTGAGGAGAGGGGCTTGACTCTCCTAAATCTTTACAGAGTTGTAGTTACGCCACCATCTGAGTCCCCACCATGCAAACGTGCCTCTTTCCTCCACCCTACCCTGCCCCTAAGCAGGAAGACGGCTTGAGTGCAAGTTCTCAGTTCACCCAGCTATCACTAGGAAAGCCCCATCTTTCATGTTCCCTCAACATCCTCAAGCCCTTTTCCCAGCCTTTTGGGACACCCCTCTAGATATTGTGATGGGGTCATTGCCACATCACCAAAGCCATGGGCCACTATCGAGAGACAGGGTTCAGATGACTGCAGCCCACTCTCTCCTACCCAGAAGCAGCCTGCTGCCTGGTGGGAGCGCCCTCCCCACCAGCTAGTGCCCCCTTAACCAAGTCAGCCCTCACCCAGCACCCTTTCTAACTGGGGCCACCTATAAAGGAAGTGGGGCACAGACTAATGGGCCCTGTGCCCAGAAAGGAGCAGCAGGAAAAAAAAAAGGGGGGTACTTAGGGTATCCTACCCACCCACGGGCAGGCCCCAGACCGGCAGCTGGAGATAGCCAAATGTTAATCACCAATTAGCACAGTTCAGGTGGAAAGGGCAACTCTATTATGTGTAAAATGAACTTAATGTGCCAGGAGCTGTGGGCTTAATTTCTTGAGATAAGACGCTTTTAGGCTAATCGGCAGGTCTAAGATGCCTGGATATAAAGGAGCTGGGCAGACTTCTTCAGCAGTCTCCGAAGGTCCAGAAGTAGGAGGAAGGGACCCCCAACCTGTCCTTCTGGAAGAGCTGGAAAGTAAGTCTGGTAAGACAAGAGGGACAGGGGTGGATGAGATGACCGGGGAGGAGGTGGCTTTTGGCAACCCTGAGATGCTCCGCACCCTGGCATCTCTCTCTCTCTTTCTCTGTAGGAGAAACAAGAAGGTAGCTCTGCAGGTTCCTTTAACACCCATGTGACCAGGCAGGTGATCAGGCCTTGCCGCCCACCCATCTCTAAGTCTAGCTTTGGTTTTCAGGGCTTGGGAAGAAAGTTCTCCCACTGTTCTTCATTTCTACTGAAGACCCTCTAGATGAAATGAGTCAAGCCCTCCAAAGAAGGGTATAGGTCAGACTTTGGGAAGGACTTCCCTGAGTGGAGATAGTTAAGCCTGAGAAGAGGGAGAATAGGATGGTTCTCTGTGTGATTTTCATTTAGGGCAGGAGGGCTGCAATGACAGACGTAACAACCAATCGAAAGGCAGGAAGGCTGGTTGATATGAGCTCTGGAGGGGAGCTCATAGGGGAGAATCTTGCCAAACCACATGCTGCGATGTCTAGGAGCCAGGGGAGGAGGGATGTCCAGGCACACGAGTCTTCACTTCTTTTTTCTGCCTGAATCTCTCTCCCCTTGCCCTCCTCCTGCCCCATTCAGATTCCATTTTCAGGCATCCCCCCTCCCCACCTTCCTAAGGTGTTGCTCCAGCCTCTTAAAAAAGGTCCAAACCCAAGATCTCACCCTCTCCCCAGTTTTGGAGCCCTCCTGGGCCCTGAGGCCCCCATGCGGCGTCACCTACTAGCTGCTCCCTCAGCACATCCTGGCCCTTTTCCCTCTCAGCTCAGGAAATAACCCTGGAAGATGGTGGCAATGAAGACGTTCTCTCTGCTGCTGGTGCTCCTGTTCGTGGCGGTGGGGCTCGGAGAGAAGGAAGAGGGTCACTCCAGGTAGGGGTGATGGGAGGGAGGGGTCAGAGCAGAGGAGGGACTGGGGCTGACCAGGTTCTGGACATGCTTCAAGGGGGAAGTGAGAAAGGGAGGGATCCCAGGCTAAGAGGAAGGAAGCTGGAGGGGAAAACCTGCTAGCGGTCTGAGTGCAGGGTGAGCACAGAACGAGAGTGTTTATTTTGAGCTACTGCTGCAGTGGAGAGACTGTGGTTAGATCTCTGGAAGGACTTCTCAGTGGTTAAATGTCTGAAGGAGATGGCAGAATCTGCCTTCCTAATGAGACCTTTAACCGTTCATTTATGCGTGCGTTCGTCACATTTCAGAGAGAGTCTCCTGTGTACCAGGCACAGGGGATGTATGTGCGAAGTAGCCCACAAACGCCTCCTGCCTTCGCAGAGCACACGAACCCAAGGGGTGGGCAGACAAAGAACCACATGGGCATGTCGCACATTGTCATGAGTCCTGTAAGGAAAAGCAGACCAGTGACCAGTGACTACGGCAAGGAGCTCTGGTTGTGTTTTGGGGACCAAGAAAGACTTGTCTGAGTAAAGAGTTGGGCTTTCTCAGATGCAAGGACAAACCATATGTCCATGTAAATTTGGCATTTGTAATTTGTAAATCGGAAGCATGGCTGTCAGAAACACGTACAAGGGGAGATAGCATCATGCAGATGTTAAGAACATAGACCTGAGCCCAGACGCCTGCGGGTAAATCCTGGATCTGCCACCTACACTAAGGGTAAATTAATCTCTGCGTCCTGATTTTCTCATTCACAAAATGGGGATATAAATAGGACCTACCTCTTAGGAGTGTTGGCAGGATGAAGTGATTTTATGCATTAAAGGGTTTACTGAGTACCTGAGTCATAGTAAGTGCTTTTATATGAGTTCACTGTTACTGTTATTGAATGTGAACCAAAGAACTGAATCAGGAAAGGCCAGGGCAAGAGGAATAAAGGAGGGAACTCTGTGATTCAGTCCTTTGGGATGAGGGGGACCCCGATCCCTTTTTGCCCAGAATCCACATTAAGCCACACACATCGAGGATGCAGGAAGGGGGCCCTAGAGCTGCAGATAAAATCCCAGGGGTCCATGCATCGACAACATGATGTCTCCATAACAACTGACAAATGTCTGTGTCCTGTTAGTGACAATCAGGTATCTTGGCATTGTGATTGTTACCTCCTCTCTGCCTCTTTTCTGGCATCCTGGTTTCTAGCTCTCTCCCCTCCCTGCCTCCCTTCAGATCCCATGCTAAGGTGAGTGGCTTCCGACCTCGAGGCCCAAGGTACGCTGAGGGGACTTTCATCAGTGACTACAGTATTGCCATGGACAAGATCCGCCAACAAGACTTTGTGAACTGGCTGCTAGCCCAAAAGGGGAAGAAGAATGAGTAGGTTGTCGCATGCACCCCGCGCCCCCTGCCTTCCTGTGTACATTCAGACCAGGCTGCCACACCTGGCCACACAGGCCGTGAGATATGCAACTCCAGGTGGCACCTTTCTTTAGGGGAGGACGGGGAGTTAGACATGCAACCCTGGCCAGGACTGACTGAGCATCAGTCTAGGCTAAGGGGGTAGAATGTGGGCTGTTCTCCAATTTTTTTTTTTTTTTTTTTTTTTTTTGAGACAGAGGCTCACTCTGCTGCCCAGGCTGGAGTGCCGTGGCGTCATCACAGCTCACTGCAGCCTCCGACTCCTGGGCTCAAGCGATCCTCCTGCCTCAGCCCCATGAGCAGCTGGGACTAAAGGCGCGCGCCACCACGCCTGGCTAGTTTTTCTATTTTTTGTAGAGACAGGGTCTCACTCTTGCTCAGACTCAATTCTTTACTTCTAAGGGGAGGAGTTGAAAAATATGTGGGAGCTCAGAGAGGATCCTCAGGGGGATGGGGACAAGGCAGGAGGAGCTGAGCTGCTGCCGGTGACTGTTTGGTGGTGGCTGCTTCAGCCTTTGGAAATAGGATGAACTGTTTCCTCCTTCTCTTTTCTCTATGCCAAGTGTTTTTCCCAGCCTTCTCTGTCAGCAATGGTAGATTGTGAAAAGCTGTTCGCTGGCGGAGGCAGCTGAGGACAAACAATGGGTTGGTTAAAAGAGGTACTCTCTGCTCCTTAGGGCTGAGGTACCAAAAGATTCAAGCGTCCCTGGACTGGAGTCTCCGCCAGCCCACCCACTCCCTAATCTTTATCTTGCCAGCTGGAAACACAACATCACCCAGAGGGAGGCCCGGGTCCTAGAGCTCACTGGTCAGTCTACCAGGAAGCAGGAGGCAGCTGGGCAGCAGAGGTGAGGCAGCCGACAAGGGAGGGACGAGCAGGGCCTCCCGCCCCGCCCCCACCTCATTGTTCCCTCTCCCAGACTCGAGAGCAGGGCCAGGGCCTGCCATAAGCATCCTCTTCCTCTCAGAGTTCAAAGAGGGGTCTTCACTGAGCAAACTCCCGGAGGTCAGGTCAGCCCGAGCTTAACAGAGAAGCCTCTGAGGAACAGGAGAGGCGTCCTGAGAGGGGGTTTCTGGGCCAGGGTTTCTAAGATTGATGCCTCAGTGTGCAGACACTCACTGAGTCAAAGAGCGGGGCGGGGAAGGAGAGACTTTAGGACCTGTCCTCGTGCTTCTCCCCGCAAGTCTCAGGTGGGCTGTCTGGGAAATGGAGGGGTCCTCCTAAGCCCAGGCCCCTGAAATCAGTTGTCCCATCTTTGAAGGAAGCTGGGAATCTGTGGCCCAGATCATTCCAAAGACAGAATGTTTCCAAAGTTCTCTGGGGTTTTGGGGATGCATTCTGGAATACTTTCAGAGATGAATGAGTGGACTATCTCACACCAGAATTCTGCCTGGCTTTGCCTGCATGAAGAGTCCATATTCCCCGGGCAGGCAACGCCGGGTGGGGCTGGCAGAGAGGTGGCTCCGGATCTGAAAGCTGAGCTAACTCAGAGGCAGCTGTGTTGACTCCCTCCCCCCATCCACGGCTGCCCCTTGGTATCTCACGCCCTGTGTTTACTCTCCCTGGGTGAGGCCCAGGCTAAAACAGTCTGCCTGAGGCTGTCTCCCTTGCAGCTCCCCACCCAGGAACCCCAGTGATGAGGATCTGCTAAGGGATTTGCTGATTCAAGAGCTGCTGGCCTGGATGGTGGATCGTACAGAGCTTAGGTAGGGGAGGGGCTTGAATGCCTTTGGGCCCGTTGCACAGTGTTTGTAAGGTTGACTTTGGAGGTCAGATGCAGATTCAGATCTTTGCCCCAACACACACTGGCAAATTACTTAGCCTTTCTGAACTTCGGTGTTTTCATTAAATGAGAACTATTGAAACCATTTCATGCGATTGTTGTGAGGTTTAAATAAGATAATGCAAGTGGAGAGCTGAGGGCCACATCTAAGGAACACTAACAGCTTGGCAGTGTTAGCAGCTATTTATTACAGTTTGCTTTCTTCCTCAACTTCCTCCAGGTGAGGTTCTGTTCTCGCCTTCCCTGCCTACCAAGCTAAGTTTCTCATCCTATTCTCTCAGCTTTCCCTCTGTACCCTTGGGCCATAGTACCTTCCTGGTGATGGGAAACCCTCAATTGGTAGCATACTGCATTTCTTTATAGCCACTTCTGGCCTCAACGGTCTCTTTTTTTTTTTTTTTTTTTTGAGACAGAGTCTCACTCTGTTGCCCAGGCTAGAGTGCCATGGCATCAGCCTAGCTCACAGCAACCTCAAACTCCTGGGCTCAAGCGATCCTCCTGCCTCAGCCTCCCAAGTAGCTGGGACTACAGGCATGTGCCACCATGCCCAGCTAATTTTTTCTATATATATATTTTTAGTTGTCCAGATAATTTCTTTCTATTTTTTTAGTAGAGACGGGGTCTCGCTCTTGCTCAGGCTGGTCTCGAACTCCTGACCTCGAGCGATCCACCCGCCTCTGCCTCCCAGAGTTCTAGGATTACAGGTGTGAGCTACCGCACCTGGCCACAATGGTCTCTTGAATCCACTGCACCAGCTAGGAAATCCTTCAATCTATCCATCATGTCCCGGAATCAAGGGACTAAATATTATGGAGAGACCCATCCACCTAAACGGCGAGACAGGACACTCATTCAGGATGCAGACACCGAGGCACAGAAACCAAAATGTGTTCAGACTTTGATGCTGGGCAGCTTGGGAAGAGTTGAGGGAGCAAATCTGGGATAGGAACCTGTCCAAGGGTAGCAAAGGACAGGAATGTGACCGGACCAATGGAGTAGAGAGTGTGAGAAAATTTCCACAGGGAGGTGGGTCACAGTCTCTGTACTTTTGTAAAGTATTTTGATCACTTACCATTAAAAAGGAGATTTGGAGGTAGGAGTGGTTTGACAATGGCTGAGTGCCAGAATAAACTAGCCTGGCTGACTCCAAGTCGATAATGACCTTCCTCTCTCCTTTCCCCACTCTCCCCAGGTCTCGGTGACTCTGACCAAGCCCAGCTCAGGACTGGACTCTGCCCTTCAGTTACTCAGCCCCTGCCTCAGCCCCTCTGGAGAACCCAAGAGAAGGCAAACCAATAAAGTTTACTCTGGGATAAATCACTGTGCCTAGTGTGAAAACTTATTCAAATGTTTACTGAGTGCTAACAGGGCATGATTTTTGCACCCAGTGAAAAGGAAATATGGTTCTTACCTGGATCTGTTAATTCATTTATTTACAAGCATTTTTTAGTACTAAATATTGCTAGGGCTGTGCCAAACACTGCATTGTACAGCAATGAAGAAAATGCACACATCCTTGGCCTTGAGGAGCTTAAAGTCCAGTGACAGAGAAAGACCTTAATCTTTAAACACACAAATACAATAATCATCACAAAGTATGCTAAGTTATATGAAGAAAGACTAAGGTGCTATGAGAGAGGACAAGGAAGCTGGCCCTCATCATTTCTAGTTTGAATTACTACAATACTAGAGTAATTTTTCTAAAACAAAAATTAGATCTCATTACCCCCTGACTGGAGTCCTCCATATGCTCCTTGTAAGATTCAATAATGCTATCAAAATCACCTATGGAGCTTTCTAAACACACAGATGACTGATTCCACCTAATGATGAATAACAATCATAATTGATATTTATTTATGTGCCAGGCATTGCACTACATGCTTTATTACATGTTTTCTCACTTAATCCTCACTAGATTTCACGAGTAGGCATTATTCTATTTCACAACTGTGGGGAGTGAAACACAAGAGGTTAGGGAATTTGCCTGAAGTTCCCGGACCGCATGCAGTGGACCTGAGCTATAGAGCCAGGCAATCTGACTCCGGAGTTCAACTTCTTTAACTGTAAGGCCCTTTGAAGTCACAATCTCTGCATGTCATTCCAACAGGTTAACTCCGTCAGGGCAGAATGACTCCTGTTGTGTGCTCAATATGGAACCCTCCATGGCCAACACAGCGCCAGGCACATAGTAGGTGGTCCATAAGCGTACGCTGACCTCCAGACGATGGAGGGCCAGTCGCAGAAGACCAGGGCAGTAGGCGCCCACGTGGGCGGGACGCGCGGGATCCTCACGCCTTCCCTGCCGCTGGGCTTTGCTGAGCCCGGCCACCATCTGAAGGCGGGGACGCGGGGCCAGTGGCAGCAGGAGACTGTCGACCCCGCGGCAGGAAGTGGAGCGCGTGACTTCCGGCGCGTGCAGATGACGCGAGGGCTTGGGCTTCCGCGTTGGGGAACGGGCGGCAGAGCCTGGGACGCGCAGAGCTGGGGTCCCAGCATCTGGGCGGCCCGCGGGCCCAGGGCGGGGATGCACCGCCGCGGGGTGGGCGCCGGTGCCATCGCCAAGAAAAAGCTTGCCGAGGTGAGGAGGAAGGCAGCCGACCACAGCCTACCCCTGACCCGTGAGAGACTGAATTCTCCCGGAGCAGACTTCTGTACCCTTTAATCGCCTCCGAACAGAATCCGGCAGGCTTCTCCGGCCCCGGGGAATCGAGTTTCTCCAACTCTGTGCTTTGGAGTGTCAGCATCTCCAGACCCACCAGCCCTTTCTTCCACTTCCCCAAGTTTGACTACAGACGGGATTCTACTCCGGAACCTACAATCGTTGATTTTACTCCCGACCCCCATCCTTCTCCCTAAAAAAACATTTAAGAAAGACCCTTCTCTTTTCATACTATAGCTGTGGCAGCGCAAGCGGGAGCCCCCAGCGCCCACTCTCTTAACTTACGCTGGTCTCTTTGTCTGACAGGCCAAGTATAAGGAGCGAGGGACTGTCTTGGCGGAGGACCAGCTGGCCCAGGTGAGTTGCTTGGAGGGCTTTTGGCAGGAAGGGAGACACAACAGGGCTGGTCAAGACACCTTTGATGTAAACTTGATTGTTTAGATTGAATTAAAAATAGGATGTTTGGCCAGTTTTGATTTCTGGGCTGCTAAGATCTTTTAGGTGATTGCTAATAACAATAATAACTAACATCTTTGAGTGATTACATGCTTATAGTGTCCCATGCATTTCTCTGTTTTCTTTACATACAGTCTCTTGTTCAATCCTCATCACAATCCCATAAGGAAGGAACTCTATTATTCTGAATTTGAAGTTAAGGACACTGAAGTGTTAATTTGTCCAAGGTTAGAATATTGGTAGTAAGTGATAGAGCTGTTTGATGTAGGTCTTTGGGACTTTTACTTTAAATGCCTCAGAATAAAATGAAAATATTGCCTAACCTGTGGCATCCACCACCACCATGGTAACTTCTAGGCACACACCAGCATGTGTGTGAGTGATGGGGGTGCAGCTCCTGTGCAGTTTCCTTCTCTAACACTTCCTTTTTCTGTACATGCTTTGAGTTTACTTACTTACTGTGATGGTTGAAGAGGGGGAGGAGGCAGTTAAGCAGGAAAATGAGTCCTTGAACTGAGGAAAAATAGACACAGGCTGTGCTCTTCAAAAACTCCCATTCACAGGAGAGGTGGCACACAAGAATCAACTTAAAATGGTGATTATAAGAATTTGGAGCTTTTTATGTGGCAAAGTAGAAGGAGATGTTGGGCCAGGAGTGGTTACAGGGGCAAAAGGTAGGCTTTGTTAATTAGGAAAAGAGAACGGGTAGTACAAATAGAAAATTGGAAAATTCTCAACCCTTTTGTATTTAGCATGGAATGCAATCGGTAGACCCATACCCGCACCTGAAAAGATTCTTTGGTGTTGATCCCCAAGGAGTTCCACGACTCAAGGGCTATACAAATTCATGCCAGGCTTTGTTTTTTACTCTCCAGCCTTTGTCAGTGGCTAAAGATTTCCTACTGCATAAACACTGCATTCCCTCACTTCTAAGAGAAAATGGATTATCAAGTATACCTTCAATTTAATGACACTTTTTCTGGGAAAAAGAAAAGTACCACATTATATGTGCATGTTGATTCATAGATGCAGCCTGATTGTGGAACAGGAACACATGAAAAAAGGTATTTTAAAATTGGGGAAACACAGTACAGAAACACATTTCTGCTGACAACAGAACTGTGAAGCAGAGGCAGGGATAAAAAGAGAGAGACAGTAAGCAGTATAATGGTAGGCCCGAAGGAGACAGGTTATTTCAGCCCTTGCCCTGCCATTAGGCCAGGGACTTAATTTTGGCATCTGATTATCACTTGGCTGGGCTGCCCTTAACTTCCCCTTTGTCCATCCAAAAGATGTCGAAGCAGTTGGACATGTTCAAGACCAACCTGGAGGAGTTTGCCAGCAAGCACAAGCAAGAGATCCGGAAGAATCCCGAGTTCCGTGTGCAGTTCCAGGACATGTGTGCGACCATCGGGGTGGATCCTCTGGCCTGTAAGGAGTTGTCCTTAGCGGTCCAGTGTTTTCATAGGGTTCTTAAGGGACAGAGGCTCACCTAGTTGTCATCAACGCTGTTGGGGCATCCTCTAGAAGGGCCTGCAGGGAGATCCAGAGGATGTCATCTTTAGAGAGTGCCTCATAGGAGGGCTAGTGCCCAGTCTGACGGGGAATAGAGAGAGGCTGAGTGTGGGCCATGTAGCCAGTGTCGAGGGTCATCCCCTGAATTGCCTACAGTAGAATTTTTTATGGCATTTTCCCCCTTTATTAAAAGTAGTATGTGATCATGCAGTCAGTCAACAAAGAGCTGTATAAAAGAAGTGGAATTCTTACCCTGTCCCATAATTGCAGAGATAAGTACTGTTGACAGTTAAAGGTACAGTCACTTGCCATGTAACATCCAGTTAATAATGGACCGGGCCGGGCGTGGTGGCTCACGCCTGTAATCCTAGCACTCTGGGAGGCCGAGGCGGGTGGATCGTTTCAGCTCAGGAGTTCGAGACCAGCCTGAGCAAGAGCGAGACCCCGTCTCTACTAAAAATAGAAAGAAATTAGCTGGACAATTAAAGTATACATATAGAAAAAAAAAATTAGCCAGGCATGGTGGCGCATGCCTGTAGTCCCAGCTACTCGGGAGGCTGAGGCAGAAGGATTGCTTGAGCCTAGGAGTGTGAGGTTGCTGTGAGGTAGGCTGACGCCATGGCACTCACTCTAGCCCAGGCAAAAGAATGAGACTCTGTCTCAAAAAAAA